CTGCTACAAAAAAGGAATGACATATTATTTTGAGCATATTGTTAATTATTTAAGCCAAAATAAATTAATGATGTAGTGTTTTCATCCGCACCTATGGTGAGGTAGTTCAGGAGGAGGTGGAGGCGACATCCCGGGAATGATGATGTAGCGCTTGCGCCATAGAATGAATGTCTTCTCTGCTTCTCCTAGAGTCTTCTCGCCATCACCTCCAGGAATGTCAAGAGGCAAATCACTAAAACCTTTTTCAGCTTTATCTACCGAGATGGTAGCATCTCCTTCTTGGATTATATTCCCATGAATCCTTGGTGTCTTGGTTCGGTCGATAGGATTAACAAGACCGATAGCCACCTTGATTGTGGAATTCCCCTTCGGAATGTGTAGCTCACACGATGTACAAGGTTCAGTGACGTCATCCATAGGGAAGCGCAGTCTTGTGTCCCCTTGATTTGGTATCTCCGTGGAAGCGCGGCTACTTTTCAACTGAACAGATTGGCTAATGTTGATTCCTGGCTCTGATGCCTGCTTGCTTGCACTCACTGCTATTTGCACTTGCCTTCTGATTTCCTCCTGCATTCTCGCTTCAAGGTTTTTTTCCCGCTCCTATGCTTCACGCACCGCTTCCTCCAACCTCTGGAGCCGCTGTGCCTCTTCTTCCTTCTTTCTCTGGCGGCTTCTGTAGGAAGGTCTGTCCTGAGAGAATCCATGCTCCCACGAGACACTTCCTTTGCCTCTAGTTCGGCCACCGTGTTCAATAGTCCCGATGGCGTATGTCAGTTCATTCTTCTCTCTGTTAGGCTTGAACGCACCACTAGCAGTAGCTCCCCGAGCATAAAACAATCTTTCTGCTGCTTCTTGCAGTCTTGTGCCATAAACGCACTTCCCTATCTCCTGGTCCAGTGTTCCCCCATGAGCGAAAAACCAATTCTTTGCACGCTCTCCCCACTCGAGTGATTCTGGTGTGATACCCTTGGCAAGAAAGTCTGCTTCTATTTTGTTCCACTTCTTAATGGCAGTCGGGTAGCCACCTGATCCCAAGTTATGGTGGTATGTCTTCTGTTGGGCATTACGTTGGTTCTTTATCACCCGACTCACACCCTCTTCCGACGTCTTATACTGTACAAACTCATCCCAATAGGGCCTCTGCTTTGAGATCGGACCTGGGACAGTGAAATCTAGTGCTATGTTCTTCTTGACATACGTCATGTATAGGTGTTTCTTCCAAGTCTAAAACTGGGTGGCCATCTTCTTCATTGCCCAATCCCTAACTCGCTCCTTCAATTCATCACCATCTATTATATCATCATAACCATCTGTTTGGAGCGTGAAATGTTCCAAGATATCATTCTAAATTAACGTCTTGTCATGATCGGAGACAAAACCGATATGAGGAGCATTGGTCTTCTTCTTCCATTCACGGGTACTGATCGGGAGCCAGTCCCATGCAAGGTAACCGTAGTGGTGCACGAATTTCATTTTATTTGCCCCCCCCCCGGTTCGCCTGTATCCACATTGAACTCCGAGATGATGAAGCGGCCCTCCAATGGCTTTTTGGGACCTCGAACATTTTTACTTTTCGTTGTAGTTGTTGATGTCGATCCAGAGGGCTACAAAACATAAACATTATTTTTAATGTCATGAGCACACATAAGACATATGATAATATATATAGCTAATAATAAAAATATATACTTGGCCAATATGTTGTTGCTCATTTTGTTCAAGAGCTAAGTACTGACTCCCGTCATCTGCATCCTCTTGCATGTTATTTTTAGCACCATCATCGCCGACAACCTGAGTGCCAGTGTTGATCAAATTCATCATCAACCCCTCCTCATCCATGTTTATTGGGTTGGCCATCTAGCTTCAAAAAACAAACCAATATATAGTACGTCAAATCTTTGCTTACATGCGTAAAATCTATGAACAATATGCATTATTAAATCTTGCCCCTCGGTCATGGACGCAATTCGCCACACTAGGGTGAACTACGTCGGTACTAGGGCGAATTAGGGCTATACATAAACAGCCGAGGGCGAATTGCGTCGGTGACTAGGGCGAACCACGTCGGTGACACCAACAACGTGGTTCGCCCTAGTCACCGACGCAATTCGCCCTAGTGTGATTATTTAGTGTTAACGATAACGATAATATGAATGTTGATCGACTAGGCCGTGAGAGAGGGCGGTGTGACGAGAGTGGCGGTGCTCCGCTCCGCCGTATATATGTTTGTACACATGGGTGAACGAGGGCGGCGGTGCTCCACCGTATAAACCCTAAACCCTAGGGCGAACGAGGGTGGCGGTGCTCTGCCGTATAAACCCTAAACCCTAGGGCAAACGAGGGCGGCGGTGCTCCGCCGTATACATAGAAACGCATGGGCAAACAAGGGCGGCGGTGCTCCGCGACGTATATATACATGCATATGAATACAAATGACGAAAACATATGGATCGCGATCGAGGACAAGGACGTGTGGTTACTATGTTTACTATGGGCGGTGGTGCTCCGTGACGTATATATACAACGCATGTGGCTCTGTTGGTTTTGTTGCTATTGCTACGTGGGGAACCACCAACACCAACCTGGCAACCCCAGCGCCAGCGAGCCAGAAGGCCACGCGGCACCGACCAACTGCGAATTGGTCAGCCTCTGCCTGACTCGGTGATGTGCCGCCACGGAATTCTCACCTCTCCTCGTGGCTCCCCCCAGGAAGCTCTGTCCTCGAGATCCTTAAACACAAAGAAACCGGGCGCCATATATGCTCGCGCGGTCGTGCGCCACAAAGATGCCGCCGCAGCCGCGCTCGCCTCAAGAGCGCCGCCCAAGTCCTCCCCCTCCCACCGGTGGCATGTACTACTCCGACGACATGGAGGCGTTCTACGACACCTGGGTGGGCCGGGAGGAGCAGATCATGGCTGACCTCATGGCGGCGCTCGCGCTCCCGCCCCGGCGCCAGAGCGACGCGCTGGCGCCGCTCGTGGACGCCGCCGTCGCGCACGTCGCCGCCTACTACGAGCACAAGTCCCGGCTGGCCGACCGCGATGTCGTGGCCGCGCTAGACCCGCGCTGGCTCAACCCGCTCGAGCGCACCTTCCTGTGGGCCTGAGGATGGAAGCCCGCGCTCATGTTCCGCTTCGTGGAGACCGGCGGCGTCGGCGCGGGGATCGGCGTGGGACCCAAGCAGCGGCGCGCGCTGGAGGAGAGAGAAAGCCGAGAGAACTCACCTCACGAATGTGGAGGCAGATCGACGGGGCCACGCGGGCGCGCGCGGTGGAGGGCCGCACGAGGTCGTCGGCGCGAGGTCGTCGGCGTCCGCATGAGGCGAGGCGCGGGCTCTGGTGTCATGGCGGCGGGCTGATGCGCGGGGGCCGGGCGACCGGCGTCGGGCGGGGTGGCGACCGGTGTGCGGCAGCGTCGGTGTTCGAGGTGGGGTGGCGACCGGCGGCAGCGCGAGGAAGAAGAGAGAAAGGGCGGCTGTTCGACGAGGAAGAAGAGGAGGGGATCGATCTGTGCCAGGCACTGGCGCTTATATACCAGGGAGATTTACTCCCGGTGCCAGCCACCAGCCGGGAGTAAAGTTCCTTTACTCCCGGTGCGTGTTACCAACCGGGAGTAAAGGTATACCTTTACTCCCGGTTGGTAACATGCACCGGGAGCAAAGGTTTTTTTTTGCGGGCCACGAAACTGCAGCCCACCTTTACTCCCAGGTGGGCTTCCCACCCAGGAGTAAAGGTGGGCTGCAGTTTCGTTTCCCGTATGTTTTGAGCAAAAAAATTTTAATAGAAATGCAATAGTCTTGTTAAATACATAGTAAATTAAATAAAAGGCATAAAATTATTTTGTTAAAAATATGGATTTTTGTTTTCTTTATTGCACATAGGAAAAATCTATAACCTAACTTTTTTTATTTTTTGTTATAATTATAAAACATAATGTAACTAATATTTATTATTTCGTTAATGCAAAAATGTAGTGTTTAATTAAAATTATTAAAACTATTGGTTTTGGACAGGAAATTTGTTTTCACATCATTTTAACATTAATATTTTAATTTTTCATCACTCAATATCCTAATTTAACTTTTCGAGAGAGAAATCCCACCAAATCAAACATTGATTTAATTTGAAATACGACATAATAAACATCTGAATTCATAATTATTACATAATATCTCAAACACACACTACATTAAATCACTATATCATCAAGTGGGCACAGCAGTGAACTTCTTCTTTACGTATGTCCCTTGGTTATGATCGCGTCGTAACCATGGAGTGTCATCATCATTTACCAAGATGCTAGGGTCTTTGTTCACTTTGAAGGGCGGAATTCGGTCATCCTTTTCATAATCTTCTGACATGTCCGACTTGTCCTCAATTCCCACGATGACTCTTTTCCCTGAAAGAACTATGTGGCGCTTTGGCTCTTTGGTTGAGTCATTATCGTTTTTTTTCTCTTTTTGGTTTGGTAGACATATCATTGACATAGAACACCTGATTCACATCCTTGGCAAGGACGAATGGTTCGTCTTTGTACCCAATATTACTAAGGTCTACTGTTGTCATTCCATACTTGTTGTCTACTGTTACCCCGCCTCCGGTCACCTTGACCCATTGGCACTTGAACAATGGGATCTTCAAAGTAGGTGCATATTCTAGTTCCCATATTTCATCTATGCGGCCATAATATGTCTGTTTATTCCCATTCGGGTCTGTGGCATCTATGCGGACACCACTGTTTTGGTTGATACTCCTTTTATCTTGGGCTACTATGTAGAATATATTCCCATTTATCTCGTACCCTTTGTATGTGACGATATGCCATGATGGTTGCATAGCCAATAAATACAGTTGCTCATGGATGCTCTCATCACCTTGACATTTTTTTCGCAACCAACCGCCGAAAGTTTTCATGTGCTTACGCGTAATCCAAGCTTCAGTCTTCCCTAGAAACTCGGATCGTAAGAGATCCTTGTGTGTCTCAATATACGGATCTAGCAAAGAGGAGTTCTGTAGAACTGTGTAGTGCGCTTTATTGAAATAATCATCCTCCGTACCAATATATGTTTTCCTCCCTAGTGTCCCCTTTTCGCTTAGTCTCCCCTCATGTCTCGATTCAGGAACACCAATCGAGTCAAGGTCGGGAATAAAGTCAACACAGAACTCAATGACCTCTTCTGTTCCATAGCCCTTGGCGATGCTTCCTTCTGGGCGAGCACGGTTGTGAACATATTTCTTTAGGACTCCCATGAATTTCTCTAAGGGGAATATGTTGTGTAGGAACACATGACCGAGAATGAAAATCTCCTTGACTACGTGAACTAGGAGGTGTGTCATGATATCAAAGAAGGAAGGAGGGAACACCAACTCAAAGCTGATGAGACATTGAACCACATTATTATGTAGTTTAGCTAGATCAGTTGGATCAATTGCCTTCTGAGAAATTGCATTGAGGAATGCACATAGCTTCACGGTGGCTAGACGTACATTTGGAGGTAGAATTCCTCTTAATGCAACTGGAAGTAATTGCGTCATGAGAACATGACAGCCATGGAACTTTAAGTTACAGAATTTCTTCTCTGGCATATTTATAATACCCTTTATATTCAAGGAGAATCCAGATGGTACCTTGATGTTGTTTAAGCATTCAAACATGATTTCCTTCTCCTCTTTGCTTAGAGTGTAGCTGGCAGGACGTAAGTAATGGCGTCCATCATCTGTCTTCTCTGGATGCAGGTTGTCTCTTTCTCTCAAACAACGCAGGTCCTGTCGTGCTTCAAATGTGTCCTTAGGCTTTCCATACACACCCATGAAGCCTAGCAGGTTCACATAAAGATTCTTCGTTAGGTGCATCACGTCGATCTAGTTGCGGACCTCTAGGACTTGCCAATAGGGTAGCTTCCAAAATATAGACTTCTTCTTCCACATGGGTGCGTGACCGTTAGCGTCGTTTGGAACAGGTTGGCTACCATGTCCTTTTCCAAAGACGACTTTCACATCATTGACCATATCGAGTACATCCTCACCGGTTCGGTTGCGAGGCTTGGTCAGGTGGTCTGCCTTCCCTTTAAAATGCTTGCCTTTCTTTCTTACGGGGTGATTTGCAGGAAGAAATCGATGATGGCCAAGGTACACAACCTTTCGACATTTTTTCAAGAATACACCTCTAATATCACCGAAGCAGTGTGTGCATGCATTATATCCCTTGTTTGACTGTCCTAAAAGATTACTTAGAGCAGGCCAATCATTGATTGTTACGAACAACAATGCTCGCAGATCAAAGTGTTCCTGTTTGTACTCATCTCACACACGTACACCTTCTTTATTCCACAAAATGAGAAGTTCGTCAATAAGTGGTCTCAGGTACACATCGATGTCATTGCTAGGTTGCTTCAGGCCTTGGATGAGCACAGGCATCATAATGAACTTTCGCTTCATGCATAACCAAGGAGGAAGGTTGTAGATACTTAGAGTAACAGGCCAAGTGCTATGACTACTGTTCTGCTCTCCAAAAGGATTGATACCATCTGTACTTAAAGCAAACCTTATGTTTCTTGCGTCATTTGCAAACTCTGGGAATTCTCTGTCGATTGCTCTCCACTGGGACCCATCAGCAGAGTGTCTCAACATATTGTCTACCTTATGGTCTTCTTTTTGCCATCGCAACAATTTTGCATGTTCTTTGTTTTTGAACAGACGTTTCAAGCGTGGTATTATAGGAGCATACCACATAACTTTGGCAGGGATTTTCTTCCGCGGACGTTCACCCTCAACATCACCAGGGTCATCTCGCCTGATCTTATACCACGATGCATGGCATACCGGGCATGCATCCAATTTCTCGTACTCTTTGCCACGGTAGAGGATGCAGTCATTAGGACATGCATGTATCTTCTCGATTTCTAGCCCCATAAGACAGACAACTTGTTTTGCTTCGTAGGTAGTGGCGGGTAATTCATTGTCCTTCGGAAGCATCTTCTTTTGGATTTTTAGTAACTCTCCAAATCCCTTGTCAGATACAAAATTCTTTGCCTTCCATTGCAGCAATTCTAGTGTGGTTCCCAACTTTTTCTGCCCTGCATCACAAGTTGGGTACAATAATTTCTTGTGATCTTCTAGCATCCGCTCGAACTTGATCTTCTCCTTTTCACTTTCACATTCTCTTTGTGCGTCACGAATGACCTGACAAAGATCATCAGCAGGCTCATCTTCTGCGGCTACCTCTTCTTCAGCTTCTCCTATTGCAGTATCATTGAAGCACGCACCATCGGGAATAATATCATTGTCGTCCCATTGTTCTTCTTCACCTTCTTCCATTACAATGCCGGTTTCTCCGTGCTTCGTCCAACAAATATAGTTTGGCATGAAACCCGACTTGAACAAGTGTGAATGAAGAGTCCTTGAGCAAGGATATTCCACCGTATTCTTACATATGGCACATGGGCAGCACATAAAACCGTCGCGTTTGTTTGCCTCGGCCGCACGTAACAAAGAATGCATGCCGTCAATGTAGACATAAATACCATATTAAAACCTAGATCATAATTAATTATTTATACAACATGCGTGCCATCATAAAAGGTACAAATTTATGAAAGCGTCGCTACAATGTAGACAATCCCAACTACCACTAAAAGAACTAAAGCTAAAATACATTTCAGGAGCACAAGGATTTCACGACCAATCTCAACTAAAACAGACAGATCCCTCGATTGTGCAACATCTTTGGGCTTCTTCGGCTGGATCACTGCCTCATTAGCCGCCGTATCTGCCTGTTGTGAAAGATATTTTTGCACGAGTTCAACATACTCTTCCTCCCAGTAGAAGCCTGAACCTCGTCCACTGCCATCCCACTGGAATTAAAATAAAAAAATTAGAACTTTAATCACAACCATCATGAAAATAGGTATAAACTAACCATAATCATAAAATACGATAAAATAACTCACATTGCGATCCGGACACTCGTAGAAGATACGACCATTGTTGGGACCCTCCTTCACTCGGTACTCCATCACAATCTTCGTCTCATCACGACACTTGCCGCATGGAATGAGAGGGAGGCCCGTCCTAAGTCGCTTTGGAAACTCATGAGAGGCCAAGGACCCGGAAGCAGTTGCCATCTACTCTCTATACTTATTTTTTAATACACTATAAATTTCACATTTTATAAACAAATAAAATTAAGAAACTATAAAATTATCTATATCTCTAAACAATGAAGTGTGCTATGCATGCTAGAAATAAAAAGTGAATACTAATTTTAAATACCTACTTTAACCTTTCTTCATCCAAATATGCAAACTATAAGTTATTTTGAGCTTAAATTGTTTACAAATAAAAAAAACACCATAAAAACAATATATATATAGTGAACAATATGAGATAAGCCAATGATAAAAAATGAGAGTATGAGATTGGTAATCTTTACAACTGAAGAATCGACGGAGGAATCGAAGAAATCAACGGAGGAATCGAAGAATTGATGGAGGAACAATGGAGGGAGGAAGCAAGAACACTAGTGCAGTGAGCTTCAAAATGTGCTGAGCTCGGGCCTCCTCGGGCTCGGGGAGGAAGAAGGAGACGGCCGGGATATAAAGGGGGACCTTTAGTCCCGGTTGGTGGTTCTAACCGGGACTAAAGGTAACTTCCCAACACCCGGCGTAGCCACGGCCTAGGAGTAGACCTTTACTCTCGGTTGGAGCCACCAACCGGGAGTAAAAGTCTACCTTTAATCCCGGTTGGTGGCTCCAACCAGGACTAAAGGTCCCTGCCACCTCTGTCTGGCGCAGTAGCCGTTGGGCAGGGACCTTTAATCCCGATTGGGTCCACCAACCGGGACTAAAGGTCTCTCTAGTCCCGGGCGCAAAAAAATACCGGAACTAGAGCTCATTTTAACCGAGGATCAAAGGTCTGTTCTCTATCTGTGTCAGCAGCCTACTCAGGACGAACCTCAATGCGCAATTCTGGGGCACTGTGCTCGGCGTCGTGCGCAGATTCGTCGCGGAGCTGCGTGGTGACGAGGATCACTTCTCGAAGCTTGGTGTCGCCAAGATAGCACTGGAGATACTCCCTGTGCCACTGAGGCTCAAGAGAGCCGGTCAGACGACCGGAGTGGCCACCTCAGAGGCCGCCGAGACTGAGCTGCCGGGAATGACTGTCCAGGAACTACTGCGTTCAGCCACAGCTGTGCCAAGAGAGGAGGTGCGAATTGTGCTGTGGGAATCTGCGTGCCCACCTAACTATCGCTACACTGTCGTCTGCGAGAAGGTAGAAACACATGGTCCACATGCAAACATCGAGCGGAAGAGGCATGCCAGGCAGCCGTAGATGATATTCAACAATGTAATAGATAGCTGTGAGTGTTGAAAGCAGTTGCTACATAATTTGTCTTTCGTCTTTTTTGTGACATTTTCGACCCGAGAATAATGTATATGTGCAGTTTCCCGGTGCTTACCATGCACCATTGTTGGAATTCGGCTGCTTTCAATTCAGAATTTCGTGGTCCTTACAAGGCGCGTAGGTAACACAAGTCCGTAGCTAACTTCCGATCCATTTCTCTTTGGGAGTCTACCACAAAGTCAACAATCAACGTACGTTTGTTTTGCCTGGTTTAGTTTCAAAAAGTTTTCCCAAAAAATGCTACAGGAGCCATCACATCGAATCTTGCGATACGTGCATGGAGCATTAAATGTAGACGAAAAAAAACTAATTGCACAGTTTAGTTGGAAATCATGAGACAAACATTTTGAGTCTAATTAGTCCATGATTAAATACTGATTGTCAAATAAAAACGAAAATACTACAGTAGCCAAATTCTCAAATTTCATCCAACTAAACACAACCTTATTGGAGACAACTCCCCTATGTGCATGTGCACAGGAGCATGGATCGGAACAGATTATCTATTTATCAACACTCACTGACAAGTGGCACATGTTGATGGAGGTCTCGACTCCATAGATTTCTTTTGGTACAGCTTCGCTTTACTGGTGGAACAACTCATTTTGGCTTTAGCTTTACCATCAGCTCTACAGAAGGAATCGAAATTGATTTGGTAAAGCCGCTTGACACCATAATGTCCCTTTTTTTTCTTTGTTATTTTTCTCCTCTGCTATTTCTCCTTTTTTTATATCCGCTCTTTTTCTTTTTCAGAAAATGAATTAAACTTAGAAAACTTATAGGAAATTCATCCGACCTCAAAAAAATATGAAACCAGTATCTAATTTTTTCTAAAAATAAGCTCTACGTCATAGACTTGTGTTTGAGTGCTTTTGGATCTTTTGGATTTCTATTGCTTCTTTCTGACTATCTATAAGAGGCGCTTAATGTGGCTATATGTCTCGTTTGGCAGCCCCGGAGGAGCAGCAGCTTGAGGAGGAGGACTACGAGTACAAGGAGGAGCTCAGAGATGACCAGGCTACAGGTGCCATGTCCCACCCAACCTCGCAGAATCCTATTAGACATGCAATTATATAGATGCTAGTGCTTTACTTTCTGTAAATGATCTATGATAGGTTGCATGGTAGTATTGCTTGAAGCCTATACCTTAACGTAATCTTACTCCTGCATATCCGCTGTAAGGCTAGATGCTCGCTGTTACTTACTACTGGCTTCTACTTTGCATTATATTTGTGATGTGATGCTTGGTGGAGGAATGTTTATGAGTGGCTAAGGCACTTGGTGCCACTAAAATGGTGTTAGCTTAGGGAGATCTTGGCGTGTGTCTTGGGCGTGTAGTGAGGGTCGAGTCGACCAACAATGAGTCTTGGGGACGAGTCTTGCCGGGAGGGTGTGACCTGAGCATATATCATCTATGTGAGGTACCTGTGGCGGGTACATGTGAGCTGAGTAGATTCCGAGCAGGAGACTCTTCGTGGGGCAAGTCCCTACAATGGAGGTGCTGTCAAGGCACCGGGAGTTGGGTTTCCCCATATGAGAAGATGTCTTGTCTGGTCCCCCTAAGGACTAATATGCTGAGAGAACCGGTTCATTGGATCCATTGCACACCACTCACTCTAGGTCAGGCGGGGGACGAATGTGATCTGGCTAGGGCGATACCACTACTGCTAGGTAGTAGTTGATAGTGTAGGGAGGTAAGGGCGTATCCTCTAACCTACCTGAGACCACGTGGTGACCTTGGAGGTCCGGTACTACGTTTCATAGTCTCAGCGTGTCGGTGGACTCCGGGGTGACTCAGGGCTGAGTGGCAGGGTGGTATCGTACCGGTTTGTAAAGCAGCCCGGAATCAGCCTAGGCAGGGCACCGCCAATGATGGTAATCTTGTGGGTCCTAGTGTAAACCTCTGTAGAGTTTTGGTCTATCGATCGATACATAGCCGTTCCTTTACGGTTGTGGACCTTTCCTATGTTTCTCACTTCACTTGACTAGTGAGGTGTCCTTCCTTCTCTCCCCCTAGGTTGGATCAAGTTCTGGCTGTTAGCCGTTGAGGCAAGGCACGAGAGGGAGTTGTCCTTGCCACCTAGAGAGCGAGAGTGTGGTGAGATCTGTGGATGTGTGTGTATGGGATGGATGGATAGAAGTGGATTAAAACTTGAGAATTACTTATAAAATATTGATGAACTTGTATAGGAAAACTATATCCATATGTAGGTCTTTTGCTCTACCCTTGCACACCACGTACCACAAAGCAAACGCAAAGCATAGGGTGGGAGCCAGTGGCCAGTAAAAATTGTACTGATAATTGTTCCGCAGGTGACGAGCCCGAGGATGACTACCAGGGCAATGATTCTGAGGGTTAGAGGTTCTTGTCCTACGCTTAAGATTGCCTGAGGAGAATGGAGTCTACGCCCGCTGAAGCGCCTTCTGATGATGTTCTAGATGTTGTGTGCTCTGAGTGATTCCGCCAACTGGTGGTGTAATAATGAGTAAACCCTTCTATTGTACTCTTTAAGACATGTATTCTATGTGTGACTTATGATATTGACTGATATTCGATAATGTGATGGCGTGATCTCCTGAGACTATCACATTATGGTTTGTATCTGTGGATTTCTCTTCGAGGAAATCGTGGATTGTTGACGGTAGTTAACAACCAATATAAGCCGTCAATTAAACATGGATAAGGGCATAAATATAATCACCAATGAAGGTTTAGGGGTTTAAACTAATAAATTCCATGAGTTTTGGTGAATCTGTGTTTCCAGCAGGGTTTAATCTGAAAACCGCCAAGGAGGACCTAAACGTCGAAGAAAAATACGGATTTCCACCGCGGCACCTACGTGGGAAGGCTCTAGAAAGACCCAGAAGCCATGTCACTGAAGCGGAGGGCGAGGCGCCACCAGGTGGGGCCGGCCAGCCTCCCCCAGGCCCACTAGTCAGCCATCTTCGAGGGTCGGTTTCCCACTGCCTTTGAGGACGCATCTAGGCCATTGCTTAAGTCAGTTTGATACAAGGGCTCACGTTGCAAGCTCAGGGCTATATAACCAGGCCCTGCCCCGCTCCCTGAAGCAGATCCTAAAACCCTAATTCATATTCTCCTCATGAGGATTAGAGCTAGCTATCAAGAGAAGATTAGATCTCCATAGGATCTAGTCTTTAGAAATAGAGAGATGGAGAGTGAGGGAAGAGTTTGGAGGAGATGCCGGTCTGTCGGTGCTCTCTCTACGGCTTGTACCTTGGCGGAAGTTAACCTACGTTTGAGATTTCTCTGGTAATCAACTTCTAATTTAAGTAAGCATCGTGTTTATATTGTTCATCTGGTTCATAGCTCTTTAAGTACTTTAATCTATAGGACCCTATAGGTTAAAGTAGTAATTGTAGGTGTAAGAGTGGTGCTTAGACCGGGTTACTTGTGGATGTACCCTATATTCCAAATTGGTGGTAGCTCGCGAAGGTGACTCTTATAGCCTCATTGAATCCTTTGTTGTCTACCTCCCGTTTGTAGGTCTAGCAGGACAGTTTTGCTATAGGAATCATACTCTGTCCATGTTTTCTATAGTAATATCCCCAGTTGAATAATAAAAGACATAGCTTACCGAGATTAGAACTAGAAGACCTTAGCGATCTCCTCTACACTCCCAACTTTCTTAAGTCTTATTGCTACTCCGGGTTAAGTTGGACCGTAGTTAACCTCACACGTTTCCCTGTGGATACGATACTTGAAATACCTCTGGGTGAAAGCTACATCGGTATCCATGCACTCTTGGATTTATCTGTGTGCGTTAAATATACCAACATGGATCGTTTCACTTTTGATCCAGTTTATCTATTTGCTAGGAAACCCTTTATGCTCCAAGATTTGAAGGATGAATTGAAGCTCAATTTTATTAAATGCTTTTTCAAAGTCCAGTTTCAGAATCGCTATCTCCTTTTTTGAGTGATGATTGAGGTGTAGAAATTGGAAAGCCCACCCTAAGCAGTCCTGGATGGTTCTACCTTTTATAAAACCATATTGGTTAACATGTATGAGCCGCTGAATGACTGACTGAAGTCTTAGTGATTGCCTTCAATGAGTAATTGAGGAGGGAGATGGGTCTGAAGTCATTAACAGTATCTGGATTTGACTTTTTGGGAATGAGAGCTATGTGAGAGGCATTGATGCTACTGAGATCCAAGGTGGAGCTGTTAAAATCATTAAACAGCCTAAAAACTCTTGCTTAGTAATCCCCCAACATTTTTTGATGAAGTATCCTTTGGAGCCATCTGGACCTAGGCATTGTTATTGGGCAAATTTTTGATCACTAGAGCAATTTCATCAGGACTGAATTCATCATTAATATCATCTAAGTTCTGGCATTGAAGGAGAGAACTCAAGTTGTAGGATATGCCCTAAAACACTCTGACCCCAAGCTTGCTTTTGAAAGTCTCTAGGAGGATACCAGCTTTCTGATCACGCTTAGTGATAATTGTGTCATCAGATGCAACCAGAGCTGAAATGAAATTCCTGTTAAAGTTGTAGGTGGCCAAGGCCTGGAAGTAGCTGGTATTCTCATCACCAAGATTCACCCACCGGATGGTGTTCCTCTATTGCTAATAAATTCTCTTGGATTCTAAGAGAGAAGCCAAATGATTCTTAACCAATAGCCTAAAAGAAGTTTCCAAGGGAGAAAGGGGCCTTTGATCTTCCAAGCCATATCTAGGAGCAGAAGCACCCAATTGTTGTTATGGATGAGATTGCTTAAGATGGAAATATTTTTTCTCTAGGTCTTTAGTCCCTTTCTAAGCTGTTTGAATGTTGCAGAGAGAGTTTTTGCTGCAATTGCATAATAGGGATTGCTATGTCAGTGAAGGTCCACAATCTTGTTGAAGTCACAGTGTTCAGCCCAATAATTTTCAAACCTGAACCTTGAAGCTTTTGGGATGCTGCT